GAAAAAATTTAGAGTATTATTCAATTTCTGAATCTACTCAATATCTCTGTCAGAACAAAAATACATTTTCTATTTTAAATGTAAACATTCGAGGTATAAACAAAAGTTTTGAAAATCTCAAACTTTTACTGCATTAACTAAACCACAAATTTAAAATAATTTGTATCATAGAAACTTGGCTTAAAACCAACAAAAAAAATTTAAACTTTGAGTTAGGTAATTATGTATCAGTTCAACAACCACGTTTTAACTATGCTGGTGGTGGTATAAGTATTTTTGTTCACAAATCAATTAGCTTTATTCTACGTCCTGACCTCAACACTATTGAAACTGATTGTGAGTCATTGTGCATAAAAATTATAAACAAAACCACCAAAAATATTGTAATTATTTCTATTTATAGACAACCAGCTGGTAATTTAAGAAAATTTAAAACTTATTTAAGCAGTTTTTTAACCAAAACTAGCATAACACGGAAACATATTTACTTAGCTGGTGATTTTAACTTAAATTTACGAAATTATGCTTCAAATACAAATGTTCAACATTTTCTAGATACTCTTATAGAATATAACCTAATACCAACAATAAATAAGTCAACAAGAATAACTAAGACCTCATCGTCACTACTTGATAATATAATTACTAACAATTTTCAAAACTGTCGTTTAGGAACAGGCATAATTAAAACTGATTTAACTGATCACTTTCCAATATTCTTAATTACTGATAGCATAACCCTAAATAATGTCCCATCAAACACTACAATCTTAACACGACAGATCAATGAAAACTTCTTAATGTATTTTCGAACTCTTTTAACAAAAAATATAAAATGAATGTTATTTTACAATCCCATGAAGTCAATACTGCATATGAGCTATTTTTAGCGCAGTTCTGTAAACAGTATGTCATAGCATTTCCTGTTAAAAAAATTGTTATAAAATCCAAGTCTTTTTTAAACCCCTGGATGACCAAGGAATTAATAAAATCATCAAAAAAAAAAAAAAAATTATGATAAATATTTAAGACATAAAACATATAAAAATAAAATAAACTACAAAAACTATAAAAACTTATTTGAAAAAAACAACAAACACTCAAAAAAAATTTATTATACAAAGTTGTTGGAAAAAACTTACGGCGACACTAAAAAAACGTGGAATATAATTAAACAATTAATTGGTAAAAATAAATGTGAAAAAAATTATCTCCCACAAAAGCTTTTATTGCTAGGGAAATGATTTACCATAAAAAAAATAGCTAAAGAACTCAACTAATTTTTTCTCGAAATAGGGCCGAACTTGGCAAGTAAAATTCCGTCAAGTACCATAAAGTTTGAATCTTACATTAAATCATGTAATTCTATTATGGAAGAATCCAATTTAAATCTAAGACAAATAAGGAATGCTTTCAACAGTCTTAAAAGTAATAAAAATGTGGGCATTGACAAATCTACTGTGAATGTTGTTAAGTCATTCTTCGATATCATTGAACCGTTATTATTTCATATATTTGATCATTCATTAAAGCTAGGTGTTGTGCCAAAAAAACTTAAAATTGCCATAATCACCCCCATTTTTAAATCTGGTGACGAAACTAATAATAAACACTACAGACCTATTTTCGTTTTACCCTGCTTCTCAAAATTATTGGAACGAATTATGTACAACAGACTTTACAACTACTTGATGTTAAAGAGTGTGCTGTACGGTAAACAATTTGAATTTCAAAAAGATAATTCAAGAAACCATGCTATAATCGAACTAGTTAATCATGTATCGGATGCATTCAATAATGACTACTTTACTCTTGGAGTTTTTATTGATCTGTCGAAAGCCTTTGATACTGTTAACCATAAGATAATTATAAAAAAACTAAAACTATATGGAATAAAGAATAAAAATTTACTTTGGTTTGAAGACTACCAAACGAACAGGTCACAATGTATTATTTATAATATAAAAGAAAAAGAAAAACATATTACATGTGTTGTGCCCCAAGGTTCAATCTTAGGGCCTTTATTTTTTTTATTGTATATAAATGATTTATACGTAGCATTGAATATTTAAATTGTATATCTCCTAATCAATAAAACATTTATTAAAAGGGAACCAATCGTTAATTTTCTAGGAGAAATAATAGATGAAAATTTGTCATGGAAACCACATATAAAATATATAGAAAATAAAATATCAAGAAATATTTATATATTATATAAAACTAAACCATATTTTAGCACCTCTTCTTTAAAAAAAATATGCTTTTCATTTATTCATAGTTTTATTTCTTACTGCAATATTCTATAGGGTAGTACTAACTATGGTAAGTTGAAAAAACATCATAGTAAGCAAAAACATGCATGCAGGATTATATGGTGACACTTTGGTGCCCAAAGTGTCTATAAACTTAATATACACCAAGTTCTACAATTCATGTTTAAAACTAAACATGAGCTCTCTCCTATTGTATTTCAGTTTTACTTTAGTGAAATCTCGAA